AATCTAAGTGTTTTAGAAATATGTGAAATAGTGCTACCACCTTTGTAAAGTCCAATTATCTGTCCACATTCAGATTCTGTTAAATTTGACATTTTTTAATTTTAGCAAAAATTTCAAAAACTTCAAAACAATCTTTTAAAATAGTAAACAAAAAAAATTGTATAGAAAAACATATGATGTAATTTTTCAGAATCTAATATTTCATATGTCAAGATTTCAGGTGTGGTTATTATGTAAGTTTCTGAGAAACTATTTTTTTTTGGCAAACTATGATTTTTTCAGAAGATTTTTGGTTGAACCTTTTGTTTTTTTAACTGTTATTCTCCTAGACGTCACAAAAATTTGAAATTTTGCATACATGTTCTTGAGAACTTTGTTATGATTTGGTAAAAATTATTTATATTTTTATTATGTACGTTTTTGTGCAATTGATTGTTTTATGGTGACCGAAACTTTTGTCCAGGGAGTGTAGATAAATAAGATGTCAATACACAGTAAGTCTCGGTATAGCGGATGTCTAATAAAACTCTTGGTTTAACGGATCAAAGCTCAGAACCATCTATAAGTAAATTCTCTCAGTTTAACGGATTTACTAATTAAATCTTGAATTAATCTCGGTATAACAGATCTTTGAAATTTTTGTTCTAATTGCCCAAATTATCTGCTATACCGAGACTCACTGTGTATTCCATTCAATAAAAATTACATCTACCTGCGGTCTTTCTTAAATTTGTAATATAAACAATAGCCTTTATTCATAATAGAGTAAGAAATTACTTGCCTGTAATTAAATTTTATATAAAAATAGTTTAATAATTCCATAAAGAATACCTCTTTAGGTATTGATGTATCAGAGATGCCACATGTTTAAACAACAATCTATGCTTTATTTTATATCTAATGGTAGAGTCTCATCTGCGATTGTATTGGAAAAAGTTTTTTTTAATAAAACAAAGTTACTATTTAAATTCCTTTGCTTCTAATAGAAATTATTCATTAGAGATGCCACAAGTAGAAACTATATATTTTTTTTACATATCATTACAAAGTTTATTAGAATATTATTATTATTATGCAAATAATTTTTTGTGTAATTGTAAAACCGTTACACCAATGATACAATGCAAGGGTGATTTTCCAAAATTTTTCTTGTTACATTAATTAATTATTGAAAGAAAAAAAAATATTTATAATATTTTATAATACCTTAAAAATAAAAATATACATACCCTTTACTTTCACTTTTATATTCAAAAAGCATTCGTTTTAACCATTAACATTATCGCCTCTAAAAATTTTCACCATTCTGTTATTTCACCACCAGTAATAAAAATAATAAAAATAATAAAAATAATGGCTGTAAGCAGAACTAGGATATTAATATATTTAATTTTAATTATACTCATAATCAGTTCTTTATTAAGTAAATTTTCAGATAGAACCACAAAAAATTATTATTATTCTGATTCAGGAGAAAAAACATCAACATCACTGAAAACTAAGATAAATTATCGGGGTGTTAAAGCATTAAAAGAAAGAGAATATACCATAAATCCTGATGAAAAATTCTTAGCATATTACACTCACAGTGGATATCATAATCAACGCGTGGGCCTTGAGAATGCATTGTTGCTTGCAAAAATATTAAACCGTACACTACTAATGCCACCTGTATTGCTTGGAACACCGTTACCATGGATAAGATTTGATAGAATGTATGAAAGATTGTTTCTAGCCACAAAAAAAGGGTTACAACATTGTCCCAAAGTGTCAAGAGATTTTCCACTTCCCGCTGAATGCTTAAATTATTATTCATACACAAGAGTTTCATGGGATTTCCTGTTGGAGATGGAGCCTATTAGAGAGTCGCAGAAAATAATTGATCGATTTGACCATTCATATGAATGGATCGAGGAGAATCTTAATTTGGATATTTCCAAAGATGTACGCTTTATTAGAGATAAAAAACTATGGGATTATAGGATATTTGATACAACAGGTAGTAGGATAGATAATAGTAATAAATTTACAAGATTCTTGTATACTGACCAATTGAAAGAAGACCCAAAGAAATTGATACATTTTGGATCGTTATTTGGATCATTGAGGGTTGTACCAGAGAAACATTCCAATATGCAATATCTTAAATTCATTAGAAAACATTTAGTACCGAATAATCCATTAGTATTGAAAGCAACAAAAAGTATAGTAAACAAATTGGGAGGTGTGGGCAATTTTATAGGACTGCATATACGAGCAACAGATGGGTTTTTCATGAAATATGCAAGATTAAATATTGACCACATTTACCATAATTTAACAAACACGTTTACTAAACTTACACCAGAAGAAATAGATGTGTTGGAAGGTGGTACACACGAAAAAGATATTTTAATAGATGAGAGTGTAGACCTTGGTGAAGATAATCCTCATGGTAGTAATAACAAAGTTCCACAGGTTAATAATAAATTGCAAAAAAGAGATATAAATGATAATGATAAATTGAAAATAAGAGATATACAAAATATGAATGATAATAATAAATTGAAAATAAGAGGCTTACAAAATATAAAATGCAAGAAACCACTTCATCCAAGTGATCCTGGTGTAAATACAGTGATATTTTTAGCAACGGATATCAAATCACCAAGATCCAATCATTTATTATTTAAATTCTTTAATACATTTCCATGTGTATTTGTACTTGGAGATTTTGAAGAAGATTTAACAGAGATCTTGAGAGTTATGAATTCGGATGACTTGACACCATTGGCAGACTATCTTATACCAATGTTAGATGCTTTAATATCATCTGAAGGCCATTCATTTTATGGAACAGGGAAATCAACATTTAGTAAATATATAAAGGACACATTATACCCAATTAGTAAAGGTCAAGAATTAGAAATCCCTTTAAATTTTTAATAATTATTATTTTATTTGTTTAACTAAAATTAATTTTGAGAAAATTCTATAGTCTGTCTCAACAATTCATTCCTAATAAATAACGATATTAATACAATTATTATAAAATCATGAACATATTTATTTATGAATAATTCAAACCTTTTTTTAAACTCATAAACTAATTCCTCCAATCTGAAAACATTAGAAGATTCTTCTTCTTTATTACCAAATTGACTATTTTTTATTTTCATTAAATTATTATTATTATCGCTACTTATATAACATTGTTAATTAATTAAAAGAGTCAATCGTAATTTGATTGGAAAAAAACCAATTCTTACGTTTTAGACATTCCTTCAATAGTTAACATTAAGCCTGAGCTTTCTTTATTAGTACTACTACTGTTGTTGTTGTTGTTGTTGTTGTTGTTGTTGTTGTTGTTACTACTGATACTGTTGTTATTGTTGCTGTTCATTTGCGGAGTAGAACTAATTTTATAACCTGTTATTTGAAAATTATGACTCAAAGAATACATGTTTTCAACCTTTTCACCATCTTCAGATAAGCCAACCAAAATACAATGCTCTTGCGTGATGTTAATTGGTATTATTTCATCTTCGAAAATATAATGTACAATGGGATGTTTCCAATTTTGTTGTAATTTATCATGAATTACTATAAATTGTGGTATTTGTGGCAAGGAAGAAGTAAAGGAGGAAGAGGAGGAAGAAGATATTAAAGTACTTGTAACTGGTGTAGGTTGCTGCATCTTGTTATTATATTTATTTTTATGTTGACGTTGTTGATAATAGAAATGGAACAAAGTGAGCATAGTGACGCCGCATGATAATTTCAGGGTTCAAAAGTGTTGAAAATTGCGCCACAGCTATGAGGTTAAAAATCACGCATTTTATATTTTAAAGAAGCATTTATCGAGATGTTGAAGAAGTAATACACTAATCACAAATTTTAATTCATTCAATTTTTAAACTAATTAATTTGAAATAATTATTTTTAGCTGTTTATATGGTAAATTTATGTAATTAAAAAACTATTATTTTATTTAAAAGTAATACATCTATTAGAAGTAATAAGGTTAATTCTGAGGATATTTAACAAGATGTGGTATTTAACGTCTATCTATACTCCATAGACACCACCTCTTGTCAAATACCCCCTAGAGTTGACCTCATTACTTCTGAAGGTCAAATGGCCATTCATCATATATGGCATAGAGTCTGTGGGGATGATGGAGTTTATTAGAAATCCATCATCACCTTCATCATCATCATCACCTTCATCATCATCATCACCTTCATCATCATCATCACCTTCATCATCATCA